CCCAAAAAAAAAAAAAAAAAAAAATATTTTTTCTGAAATGGAGTCTTACTCTGTCACCCATGCTCGATACAGTGATGCAATCTCAGCTCACTGCAACCTCTACCTCCTGGCTTCTAATGATTCTCCTGCCTCAGCCTCCCGAACAGCTAGGACTACAGGTGTGCACCACCATGCCCAGTTAATTTCTGTATTTTCAGTAGAGATGGGGTTTTGCCATGTTGACAAGTCTGGTCTCGAACTCCTGACCTCAGGTAATCTACCCACCTCACTCTCTCGAAGTGCTGGGATTACTGTCATGAGCCACTGAACCTGGCCTACATTTTCTTGACTGAGAAAATTACTCAGTTGGTAATTGGAGAACATGAGCAAGATTCATGTTATTTATTTTTAATAAAACAGGTATTGCTGTGTCTAATTTAGACCTGATCACCTGTCTGGAGCAAGGAAAAGAACCCTGGAATATGAAGAGACATGAGATGGTGGCCAAATCCCCAGGTAGGTGAGAGTGAAAAGAACAAATGACACAGATGAGAGGTCCAAAGGTGAAAAAGAAAGCCAGTCCTTAAAATGTAACTTGGAAATTTGTGTTCCAAAAGAAACAGTTTCTAGGCAGCTGTTTTTTGTTTTTTTTTTAAACTTCAACATAGGAATATCTTCTGTCGTATACTTTTTAATTCTTTAAAAATTCTACTTTACGGGCAGGTGCATTGGCTCACACCTGTAATCCCAGCACTTTGGGAGGCCGAGGTGGGCAGATGACCTGAGGTCAGGAGTTCAAGACCAACCTGACCAACATGAAGAAACCCTGTGTCTACTAAAAATGCAAAATTAGCCAGGCATGGTGGCACATGCCTGTAATCCTAGTTACTCAGGAGGCTGAGACACAAGAATTACTTGAACCTGGGAGGCGGGGGTTGCTAAGATTGCACCATTGCACTCCAGCCTGGGCAACAAAAGCAAAGCTCCATCTCAAAAAATTACAAATAAAACATTTTACTTTTCTTCAGTGATCTTCCTTCAAGTTTACAGTGAGCTAAAGTCCTCTTTATGGCATATAAGAGACTGTGCAATCTGACTTTTTTTCCCCATTGTTTTTGGAGACTCAGAAATATTGCATACTTTTGAGAAACTCTTGTTAAACCATTGTGTAAGTTATCTTTTTGCATTAAGTTTAAAACGTGGGCCGGGCGCGGTGGCTCACACCTGTAATCCCAGCACTTTGGGAGGCCGAGGCGGGTGGATCACGAGGTCAAGAGATCGAGACCATACTGGTCAACATGGTGAAACCCCGTCTCTACTAAAAATACAAAAAATTAGCTGGGCATGGTGGCACGTGCCTGTAATCCCAGCTACTCAGGAGGTTGAGGCAGGAGAATTGCCTGAACCCAGGAGGCGGAGGTTGCGATGAGCCGAGATTGCGCCATTGCACTCCAGCCTGGATAACAAGAGTGAAACTCTGTCTCAAAAAAAAAAAAAAAAAAAGTGTAACAGTTTTAAGTGGTTTCTGTTCCATTGGTTTTTTAGTTTATTTTTCTGCACATTTCATTCTGTTTGTATTACTATAGTCTTGAAATATCGTTTGAAATTATAAAGTATGATGTTCTGCTTTGTTTTTATTCCTCAAGATTGCTTTGACTATTCAAAGTTGATTATAGTTTTGGCTGGGTGCAGTGGCTCACACCTGTAATCCTATCACTTTGGGAGGCCGAGGCAAAAGGATCCCTTGAGCCCAGGAGTTTGATACCAGCCTAGGCAACATAAGGAGACCCTGTTTCTTAAAAAGATTATTGGGCCGGGCACGGTGCCTCATGCCTTGTAATCCCAGCACTTTCTTTTTTTTTTTTTTTTTTTTTGAGACGGAGTTTCACTCTTGTTACCCAGGCTGGAGTGCAATGGCTCCATCTCGGCTCACCGCAACCTCCGCCTCCTGGGTTCAGGCAATTCTCCTGCCTCAGCCTCCTGAGTAGCTGGGATTACAGGCACGCGCCACCATGCCCAGCTAATTTTTTGTATTTTTGGTAGAGACGGGGTTTCACCATGTTGACCAGGATGGTCTCGATCTCTTGACCTCGTGATCCACCCGCCTCGGCCTCCCAAAGTGCTGGGATTACAGGCTTGAGCCACCGCACCCGGCCTATCCCAGCACTTTCAAAAGCTGAGGCAGGTAGATCACCTGAGGTCAGGAGTTCAAGACAGCCTGACCAACATGGCAAAACCTTGTTTCTACTAAAAGTACAAAACGCTGTTTCTACTAACAACAACAAAAAAACACTAAAAATACCAAGTGTGGTGGTGCGTGCCTGTAATCCCAGCTACTCAGGAGGTTGAGGCAGGAGAATCACTTAAATCCAGGTGTAGGGGGCCGGGCGCGGTGGCTCAAGCCTGTAATCCCAGCACTTTGGGAGGCCGAGGCGGGTGGATCACGAGGTCAAGAGATCGAGACCATCCTGGTCAACATGGTGAAACCCCGTCTCTACTAAAAAAAAAAATACAAAAAAAAAAATTAGCTGGGCATGGTGGCGTGTGCCTGTAATCCCAGCTACTCAGGGGGCTGGGGCAGGAGAATTGCCTGAACCCAGGAGGTGGAGGTTGCGGTGAGCCGAGATCGCGCCATTGCACTCCAGCCTGGGTAAAAAGAGCGAAACTCCGTCCCAAAAAAAAAAAAAAAAAAAAAAAAAAAAAACCCCAGGTGGAGGGGTTAAAGAGAGCCAACAGAACGCCCAATTATCTTCCACCAAAGAAAAAGAGAAAACCCATCTCTCAAAAAAAAAAAAAAAAAAAAGATTTATTGTAGTTTCATATAAAATTAGGGATTGTATTTTCTGTTACTGTTAAAAAAAAGGCACAGGAATTTTGGTAGTTTATTGAATCTGTAAATTACTATGGATAACATGGCACTTTAATAATATTTATTTAAATCCATAGATACAAAATATTTTAAAACTCAACTTGTGTCTTCTGTAATTTCTTCTATTGAAATCTTATACCTTTTATTGTAAAAAATTTTTTTGGCCAGGTGCAGTGGCTCACGCCTGTAATCACAGCACTTTGGGAGGCCGAGGCAGGCAGAACACCTGAGGCCAGGAGTTCATGACCAGCCCGACCAACACGAAGAAACCCCATCTCTATTAAAAATACAAAATTAGCCAGATGTAATGGTGGATGCCTGTAATCCCAGCTACTTGGGAGGCTGAAGCAGCAGAATCGCTTGAACCTGGGAGGTGGTGGTTGCAATGAGCCGAGATCACACCAAGAGCAAGACTGCATCTCAAAAAAAAAAAATTGCTTTTTACTTTCTTGGGTGAATTTGTCCTTGGAAATAAATTATTATTATTATTACTATTATTATTATAGAGATTGGGTTTCACCATGTTGGCCAGACAGGTCTTGAACTTCTGACTTCAGGTGATCCACCCACCTCAGTCTCCCAAAGTGCTGAGATTATAGGCATGAGCCACCAAGCCCGGCCAGAAGTTATTTTAATGCTATTGGTAAATAATATTTTTTTCCTTTATTTTATTAGACAATTTAAGTTCATAGAACCATAACTTGTATGTTAATTTTGTATTTGGTAATTTACTGAGTGTATTTGTTAGTTTAGATAGGTTTTAATGTACTGTTTATGTATTTTTACTTATTTATTTTTTTATTGCATTTTAGGTTTTGGGGTACATGTGAAGAACATGCAAGATTGTTGCATAGGTACACACGTGACAGTGTGATTTGTTGCCTTCCTCCCCATCACCTATATCTGGCTTTTCTCCCCATGCTATCTCTCCCCAACTCCCCAGCCCCCTATTTATGTATTTTTATATATAAGGTTACATGATCTACAAACAGCAACA